AAGGAGCTTCTGAAAAGATTCTCAATGCACCAATCATTAAGAAAATGCAGAAAACTTCTGGCCAAGATGGAGGTGTAGGTAGATACATTTTGCCTCCTCCCACAACCAAAACAAAGACAACCAAAACAAGACAATAACAAATTTAAAAACAAAAAATAACCAGAACTGTCAGAAAACTGAACTGTTTGGAAGTCTGACAACCAAGTAGTTAAAGAAACATTCATCCAGACTGGTAGGAGGGGCAGACATAGACAGCTGGGGTGGAGAGGACTCGCAGCAAGGCAGTGGCTGAAGGACTGGGCCAGGCAGTAGCTGGCAGACTGAGGTCCCATATCTGCATTAGAATAAACTGGGAGGAACAACTGGGGAGCGAGACAGACTGTGCAACCCAGGGTTCCAGTGTGGGGAAACAAAGCCTCAAAACCTGTGACTGAAAAAAAATCTGTGGGGGTTGAGACGGCAGGAGAAACTCCCAGCCTCACTGCAGTGTTCGTTGGAGAGACCCACAGGGTCCTAGAATGTACACTAACCCACCCACCTAGGAATCAGCACCAGAAGAGCCCAATTTGCTTGTGGGTATCAGGGAAAGTGACTGAAAGCCAGCCAAGAGTTGAGCAAGCAGCATTGTTCCCTATTGGACCCCTCCCCAACACACAGCACTACAATGTAGCAGGTGGGTTGCCCTGCCCTGGTGAATAACTAAGGCTCTGCCCCTTGCTACATAACAGGTACCCCAAGACAAAAAAATATGACCGTAATGAAAGAACAGATCAAAGCTCCAGAAAAAATACAATAAAGCAATGATGGGACAGTCAACCTATCAGATGTACAGTTCAAAACACTGGTAATCAGGATGCTCATAGAAACAGTTAAGTATGGTTGCAAGATAGAGAGAAAGGTGAAGGCTATGCAAAGTGAAATAAAGGAAAATGTATAGGGAATCAATAGTGATGTGAAGGAAACCAGGACTCAAATCAACAGTTTGGAGCAGAAGAAAGAAACAAGAATTCAGAAAAATGAGGAGAGGCTTAGAAACCTCTGAAACAACTTTAAATATTCCAACATCTGAATCACAGGGGTGCCAGAAGGAGAAGAGGAAGAGCAAGAAAAAGAAAACTTATTTGAAAACATAATGAGGGAGAAATTCCCTAAACTGGCAAAGGAAATAGACTTCCAGGAAGTCCAGGAAGCTCAGTGTCCCAAAAAAGTTGGACCCAAGGAAGCACACACCAAGGCACATTATCATTAAGTTACCCAAGATTAAAGATAAAGAGAGAATCCTAGAAGCAGCAAGAGAGGAGACAGTTACCTACAGAGGAGTTCCCATAAGACTCTCAGCTGACTTCTCAAAAGAAATCTTGCAGGCAAGAAGGGGCTGGAAAGAAGTATTCAAAGTCAGGAAAGCCAAGGACCTACATCCAAAATTACTCTACCCAGCAAAGCTTTCATTTAGAATGGAAGGGCAGATCAAGTGCTTCCCAGTTAAGGTCAAGTTAAAGGAGTTCATCATCACCAAGACTAAGGTCTATATGAAATGTTAAAGGGACTAGAACAGGAACAGATTCACAGAAATAGAGACCGCATGGATGGTTATCAGTGCGGGGGTGAAGGGGGAGTATGGAGGGTAAGGTATAGAGATAAACATAAATGGTAGGTACAAAATAGACAGGGGGAGGTGAAGAATAGTATGGGAAATGGAGAAGCCAAAGAACTTATATGTATGACCCATGGACATGAACTAAGGTGGAGGAAATGATGGTGGGTGTGGGTGCAGGGCAGAGAAGAATAAATGGGATAAAAAAATGGGACAACTGTAACAGCATAATCAATAAAATATATTTTTTAAAAAATGCAAACCAGCCTTGGCTGGGCAACTCAATTGGCTGGGGCATTATCCTGTACACTGAAAAGCTTGCAGGTTTGATCCCAGTCAGGGCACATACCTAGTTTGAGGGTTTGATCCCTGGTAAGGGCGTGTATGGGAGGGAACTGATCAATGTTTCTCTTTCACAAACAAACAAACAAAATATCTTTGGGTGAGAATTAAAAAAAAAAAAAGAAAATATAAATCAAAACAAGATACCACCTCATACCAGTTGTAAGGATGACTACTAACAAGAAGAGAAAATAAGTGTGTGGAGAAACTGGAACCCCTGTACGCTGTCAAAGGGAATGTAAAACCGTGCAGTTGCTGTGGAAACCAGTTTGGTAGTTATGATACAGCAATTTCCCTCCTGATACATACCCAAAAGAACTGAAAGTAGGGTCTCAAAGAGATACTTATACGCCCATTTTCATAGCAGCATTATTCACAATAGCCAAAAGGTGTAAACAACCCAACTGTGCATTACTGAGAAATGAATAAGCAAAATGTTCTATGTACAACAATGTTCTATTATTTAGCCTTAAAAAAGGAAGTAAATTTTGATACACATGCTACAAAATAAGGCAGCCACAACAAGACTGATGCTGTATGATTCTACTTTTATGAGGCATCTGAGTAGTCAAATTCATAGAGACAGAAAGTAGAATGGTGGCTCTCAGAGGCTTGGGGAGGGAAATGGGGAGTTATTCCACTCAATGGGTGGAATTTCAGTTTTTCAAGATGAAGAGACCTGGAGATGGATGGTGGCATTGACTGCACAGCAATGTGAATGTACTCAGTGTCAGTGAACTGTACACTTAAGATGGGTAAGATAGTAAGTATTATTTTATGTGTATTTTACTGCAGTAAAAAAAAAATTGAGAAGAAGATGATAAAAGAAAGCTTGCTCAGGGTCATACAGATAGTAACAGGGGGGTCAGAAACTAAAAGACCGGCTGTCTGGCCCCAAAACTAGTGTTGCTGCTATGGCAATGAAACGTTTCTCAAAACGTACCCACAGGTTCCTTCCCTGTCCTTGCATCCGGCCTGTCTCCACAGAGCGTATCATTTATTACCCTCAGTTAAGTAGAGGGTTCTCATAGGCCTGGTCACACAAGGAAACAGGAAGCTACTTGATTCTCTTTATTTCTAGTCTAGTAGACTGACCTAGCATTGTGTTTTGTCAGCTACCCACCCCCCGACCTTTTTTTGGAGGGGGAGTTGGTTAATTGTTTCAGGAGATGTGTATTTGAGTCTACAAAGTTCATATTGACATACTGGAGCTGGCACATCTAAACACTGTAATGGCTAGATGAACTGAGTTACCAAACCAGAAACGTGTTAAGGCCAGGCCCTTAAGTCCTATCTAAAGTTGTATAATTGCCATGGGAGGGGGCAGTACTGACTCCTGATCAGGATGTGGGCTCTGTACCCAGAGCTACCACTGAGAGGGGCAGCAGCAGGACTGACTGCAAAACAGGGATGGGAACACACATGTATTTTTTCAGTTCCTTATCAGAAGGGTCAAATGAGATGACAAGACAGTAAAAAGTGCCAGACAAAACCAAGGTCTAATATTAATCATGGCTGAATTTTCTATTTTATAGATCTGACTCCCTATACTGGCTTATAGGTCTTCTAGGTCTTCACTGCAGCCCGGAACCACTTACAAATCCCTGATGGCAGCAAGGTTAGGAAGGTTCCTGGTCTAGCACACTGCTTGTGACTCAGTACTCTCAGCATGTGGTCAGGAAAGGGATCAATTAGGAGGCTTTGTAGGAGCAGAGAAGGAAAGGAGAAACTGAAAATGGAATCAGGAGCAGTAGTCACAAATCACGTATCTGCATCTGCTTCACTCACATCCTCCAACCTTGATGCTTATTTCTGTTTGCAAAGAGAATGGTTCTCAACCAGGGACCATTCTGTCCCCTAGGGGTATCAGGTCATGCATGGTGACTTTAGTGAATCACAACTGAGGGGTAGAGTGCACTCTTGAAATCTACAGGTGGCAGTCAGGGATGCTGCTAAATTTCCTACAATGGACAGGGCAATGCCCCACACAGTGGCCTGAAGTTTCAACAGTGCTGAAGGTCCTACAAGCTGTGCTCTGGACCAAGGCAGGCAGAGCCAGCTTTACTCAGACTCTGGGAATGAACACTCACACTGTGATGCTCACCAACTATGCCAAAAGAATAGCTCTATTTGAAAAGATATGGGGCACCACCTGCTGGTTCTTTATTTTACAAGAAGCAAGGTCAGGTGCTTCTAGCTTTGTGCTTTTTAATCACACCACTACCACGGCACTTGATAACTCCAGGCTGATGTACTTCCCCTGCAGGCAGTCTCCGGAGGGAGCTCTTCACAGAGTTCTCCAAGGCTCACCCAACCTCCACACCATGGGAACTGAGGCCCCTGCCTCCCACCATTGCCTCTTCTGCCAGAGCTGGAAGGTTTCTACCTGCCCTAAGGTGGCAGGTTCATCAGATCTGAGTTTACTTTTAAACCAATAAGCACTCTAGCCACTTCCATTTTTCAATGAGCCAATGATGCTTTTGTTCTACTTTCTGCCTGATTTGAGAATAGTCTTAAAGAAATATGAGAGGCAGCACAGTGAGTTAAAAATCCTGATTTTACAGGAGTAAAATCGCTGTGTCCGTGGACTGGTTAAATGCAGGATAACTGTTCTTATCCCACAGGGATGTTGTCATGAATAAATACGTCAACAAATACAAAGTGCAGAGAACAGTGCCTGGGACTTGGCAGGCACAAGGTGAGACTCAGCTATCATTATTGTTGATGCCTATGAGAAACCCAGTTCCAACTCAGCAATCTGTTAAGCTAGCAGGTGAATTTCCTTAGTGTTTCTCTGAGAAAAGAGGAACTGGCTTCTAAACAAAGTCTTCTTCCCTTTTGGAATAAACTAGAAGCTCAAAGCTGTTTCAAAAACAAGAGTTACAACAGATACATTGTAACTTAAAGTGACTTCACTATATAGTCCTCATTTTTATCTTTAGAAAAATGCTTTTGGAGAAATGATGAGACAAACCTGCCTAGAGCCCAGGGCTGTAGACAGACAATTTATGACAAGCTGGCAGAATCCAGGTGTGTGTGCCAGCTCAGGTAACACTATACATACCTTGCTCCCTGTGAGCTGTGCAAGGTGAGGTTTTAGCTCTTCTCCGATTACGGAATAAATTGCCACTAAGCAAAACACACTGGCCTTCCGCACACTGCTCTCAGTGTTGTCATAGCCCTGCAGGAATCAGAGGGGAAACACAGAAAAGAGATGAGATCAAAGATCTGCTTCATAGTCACTATTTCATCAACAGTTCCACATACGCCCTTACAGTTCAATCTTGGACTTGCCAAAAACAATCAGGATACAACTTAAACTCTGCAACTGAACCCAGGGAGCTTTCACCCCAGAAAGGTCAAAACTTAATAGTGTCAAGAGCGAGCTGGCTCCGAGGGTATGGAAGCAGGAGGCTAGTGAGATGCAGACTGATCTGCCTCCGCAAAGGGTGTTGCTTTATAATGAACCACCACAGTAGAGTCACTCAAGAAGCATCATGACAGAGACAGAATGAGTACAGGAAATTAAGAGAGAAAAATAACTTGCTTCTTTCTTATTTTTCCCAATGGTGAAACAAATTTCACAAGTGAAAATCCCTTTAAAGAAATGAGAACTATGCCCTGGCTGGCATAGCTCAGTGGATTGAGCGCGGGCTGTGAACCAAAGGGTTGCAGGTTCGATTCCCAGCCAGGGTACATGCCTGGGTTGCAGGCTATAACCCCCAGCAACCACACATTGATATTTCTCTCTCTCTAAAATCTTTAAAAAAAAAATAAAATCTTTAAAAAAAATTAAAAGAAATGAGAACTACATCACTCATTCTGTGTCCAGTCCCACAGCCTGATATTAGTTAACATTCCTCCACAGCTGGGCCTCAATCTACTCAGCAGCCTCATCCTTACCTGACAACAAACAGAACTACTGCTACTCTTCCAACAGACTCTAGGATTTTTCAGCCTGTTGTGTTGTTCCTTCTGCCTAGAATAACCCAGTCTTTCATGGCATTCCAAGCCACATGCTTAGCAAGCAGCCGCATTTTATTACATGTGATGCTGGTTTCTCTTGACTCTTTCCCATTGAAATTTCTCTCTCTCCAGGACTCAACTCTAAAACACCTCACAGATAAGCCTTTCTCCCTTTGCTACCCTGACCCAGAAATCACCTCTCCACCTCTGATCTCACAATTCTCAGCTTGCATGTCCCTACAACTCAGCACTCAGCACCAGAATCTCTACTTGTCTCTATGGCTGTGTTGTGTCCCAGAGTACGCTGAAAATCCCTGAGGCTGGGCCAAACAGTGGAAAACATCTTTATCTTCCAAAATCTATCTAACTCAATGCCTCATGCTTAGAAGGGTTTCAATAAACATCTGCAGAATATATGACAGCAAGGACCATTACCTGATTTTGCACTCCATGTTCCACCTGCCCAGGGCTGAGGCCCACAGATGTGCAATAAGGGTTTGTTAAATTAGGAAGGAACAACAACAACAGAAAGATCAAAATGTGTTTATAGTAAAGAGAAAGTTCATTTTGTGAGCCACAGTTGTAGGCTGTCAGGAAACCCTTCCTGCTGTCTCAGGGGAGGATAGACTAGGAGACAAGAGAAAAGGTGTGAGGTATCCAAGCCACACAGCTTCCTACATTCTAAACCACAGGTCAGCACCTGGCTTTCCCCACCTACCATCACTTTGAGCTGCACTGTGCCAGCCCCACAGCCCATGCAGGCACCACAAAGCCTACCTGCAGCAAGCCCGGGATGATGTCAGCAAGGAGCTGTAGCAAGGATTCCCGGGAGATCCTCTCAACGACTCTTGTCTGCATCTTGATTGCAGCAAGGTTGATGGGGTAGTCGGCTGTTTGGATGATGGGGCAGAGCACCTTAATGCACTGTTCCGGGTGGATGGAACTTGCCAAGGTGGACGCAGCTTCCTCCGCAGCTCTCACTACCTGAAACAGAGGTTCCCCCAAATAAGTGAGCTTCTCATGCTGTGAGAGGAGAAAGACTCAGTCAAAGTACTGCCTAATTTTGGAGGCCAAGAGACAGACTTCGCTTAATGTCTCACAGAAGCCATCACTCCCTCCAGGCCATTTTGTTTAAGAAGTTCCAAGCAAAGTGGTTTAAAGGATAATTTTATAGGAGAATGGGGGACATGGGAAAGCAAGTATAGATAGGAGATTCTGGCAAAAACCTTTGAAAAGTGATTCTCTGAGTGCAATTTCCCCCCCATCCCTGCACAGCAGTAGCAGCAGCAGCAGCTGCAGCAACAACAACATCCTCAAGAACTTCTTAGAAATGCAACTTGTCAGGTTCCACCCAGATCTGCTGAATCAGAGAATGTTGGGCTGGAGCTCAGCAAGCTGTTTTAATAAGCACCTGGGAGATTCTCATATACAGGTGAATGTGAGAGTCTCTGCCCTAGAAGATTAGGACCTGAAAACAAAACACTTTCCCATGGCCTTTAGGCCACCCACAACTGAAATAACTGGAGAGAAACCCAGAAGGAAAACCAGAATGACCTCACTACTTATGTTTCCATGGAGACACCTCATTGCAGAGTGTTGCCCCAAGGAGCCCCCTGTGTAAAGTTGCTTTTCCAGGAGTCTGTGCTCATGAGATCACCTCATGGCCAAAGGAGCAGCCTGTGACCTCTGAAGCAATCACAATGCACTGGGACACATGCAATACATGCTCTCTAGAGGTCACCAGAGATACTCTGTAATCCAGGTAGAAGTCTAGTGCAGAACCCAGAGGAAAGAAAGAACAGGGGCTTGGGCTTAGAGAGCTGGAAACAAATCCCGGTCACACCACTCATAGTGCTAACTCCCCATTTCGTCATCTGTAAATGGGGTTGTCTAACACAGATCATTTGAGGAGCAGCATAGATATGTAATAGATATTCAATAAATGATAGTTACCCCTATCAGTGGCACAGGAATACATACATAAATGATACACAAAGACACCCAGCTATAAATGGGTATGAATTTTCTTACAAAATGCATGGAACATCTAACCTGACGTGTGCTCACCGGCTGGCAGTGAGCACGGAACGCTGCGGAAGGCTCGCTGAAACACAAGAAAGACATACACAGAGACAAGCAGTTTCTGTGAAGAAGTAAAAACCGAATGGCCACTCTCTCTAGTGGGGAGAGCTCCATGGCCACCCTCTCTAGTGGAGAGTGCGCCGTATCCATTCCCAAGCAGATTTTTATTGAGAATACAGACGTAGTTTGTGGATTCACAGTCTGGCAGAAAAGATCAAAAGAAGTAGGTGACTTACAAAGGTGCAGACAGAACCCCCGCTGTGATTCTAGGCAAAGTTTGGGGTTTTAACATATGAAAGGACTACAGGTTCCAAAGGTTTCCTGTCTGTGCCTTCAAATTCTAATCTAATAACACCCTCCAGCAAACAGATCTCACAGGATCTTGCATATTCTATGTCTCAGGCCTGATTACCCTGGGGGTCCACTGTTTCTGGTCTGAGCTGCACCACCCCTGCTATTTCTGCAGGCCTGAGTAAACAGAGAAGACAAGGTAGCCAGGAGACTTGGATTTCTCACAAGGACTCAGGCTTTGACAAAGCCGAGGGGGCAGGGGTTGATGTCCATCACCCCTTCATATCCACAGCCCTGAGTCTCTTCCCTTAGGGCATTCCCAGGTGATCGCGTCTAAGATTCATTCTCTTTCTTAGAGAATTGTTACCCGTCATTGACTGCCGATCATGCAATGAGAGCCAAGCATTAGAACAGGCAGCGTTCATGCCAGGGAAATAAGTTTTGTTTCCTTAGTGGCTCCTGGTCCAGAGGTCTTTCACTCAGCCTAAGTCACACGGGGGTGGTTACAGCTTCCTGAGACCAGGCAGAACAGTCCCCAACACTAACCCATTCTCCTAATGCCAGCCCTGGACTGGTCATTCCATCATATTCTTCTCTGCTCCGTGTTCTGCTATTCTAAACAACTCAGCAAGTACAAACCAGGGATGGGCACTTACCAGGGGTTCAACACTCACTGATAGACTGAATGGCATTCTCCTATCTGAGGATTTGTTCTGTTTAAAGCAGCTCTACCTTCCTGAATTCTGAAAGTCACATTTCTTTCTTGTTGGTGATCTTTTGGACTTTCCCTGGGAAAACAAGCTATCTTCTTAAGTCACTGACCAAAGGCTAAGTGTCTCATTAAATGAGATCACCCTTCTACCCCATCATGAACTGGCTGGTATACTTACGGACACGATGCATATACCCGCAAGGGCATATATTGGGATTGTATACGAATTCTTTCAAGAGCCAAATGGAAACCCAGGTCAGCATGGTTCAAGGAAGGGTAAATACTGTGTGCATGTGAGGAGACATGTGTCAGGAACATCCAAGGTTTGTGCTTCCTATATACGTAAAAGGTCGGGTTTTGCTGCAAAGCATAGCAGAGTGATAATTTTATTTGAAGAGTCATGTCCTACTCTCAAAAAGCTCGTTAAGATTCTTAAGAACTTCAAAGCCTCAGAAATAATTTTTTTCTCACCCCTTCCTTCTGCCTTCCATTTATGCTTTGTGTGTGCATTCATTCAGTCCTATGTGTCAGGGACTGAGATCAGTCAACAGAGGGGAGGACAAGGGGTCTCAGGTACTGCCCTCACGGTGCTGGGCAGGGTGTGGGTGGTCCATGCACATAGGCAGCATGAGGATTCAAAGGCCCAGGAAATGGCCGATGAGGCCACAGAAGCAGGCAGGGCCAAGAGTGGGAGTCTGCTACCTGAGGAGCTTCTTGATGTTGGTCAGGATTAGATGGAAGAAGGGTGGTGAGGGATAAGTAGTAGAATGAATGTCTGCAGAGCCTTCTCTGGTGTTCTGCGAGAATTCTTCCAGCTCAAGGGTTCTTGGCCCTACAGAGCCATCCTAGCCTGCCTCTGCCTCCTCCACGGCAAGCAAGTGCAATCTCGGTCTTTCCATGCACCTCAATATAAGTGAGCAGACTACCCTGTCAGCAAGCATTAACTTAGTCACATTTATGGCATGTCACTCTATTTTACATACACATGGAAATGAGAGTATTTAAAAGAAACTCACTGCAGTTATTTTTTTTTCTTGCCAACCCAATCTCCTGCAAAGTGCAGCTTTTTCTACACCCCAAAGGTAGAGTGCTGTGGGGCCCTGGTGTGTGCACATGACCTTTATCCTTTTACCCCAAGAAAGGAAGCATCCAGGGTTGGATGGGCACATTCTCTACCTCTGAGAACAGTGCAGCAGACAAGCCTCAGTTCAAGCCTCTGGCAAGGCATTTAATTGTTCTGAGACACAATTTTTAAAAACTCCAAAATGAGGATTTAAAAATACCCACTTTTACAGTTATTTGGATTAAGAGAGAGAACATACAAATGACTGCAGCTATAAAACATGTGATGGCTATTAGCTAGGCCTTGCCGAAGCAACAATACTGGAAGTGGGACTTGACAGCAGAGATGCTACCAGGAGGCACAGCTAACCTGGGAACTCCAGGGCTGCCAGAAAGCAGAGTTCTATCCAGAGTATCCCTCCTACCTGGTCTACTACATGCTAGTGGGTATGCTCGCTCCAATGATCTCTCTAAAATGCTAACCTGGTGACCATGTCCATGTTCTTCAATTCAGCATGGAAGGCCAACAAGGTCTGCTTCCTCTGGCCTGCCCAGTTGAATTTTTAGCCCTCTATCTTCCCACTGTGCCCTGGTAATACTGAGCTGAGGGGACACCCTGCACCTGCCTGGCCAGCCTCATCTCAGTGCCCTTGTCTAATCCCTGCACCCTTCCTGAATGTCACTCATTTGTGTTCTTCACCCAGCTGGACCAACTCACCCTTCAGGGCCCACTCATATCAACCAGAATCTTCAGGAAGAGCCTCTGTGAAAACCTTGAACACTACACTTAAATATTTTACTGAAACTGTCTCTCCCATTAGACTAAAAGTTCCTTGAAGGCAAGCTCCCATCTCAGCCATCTTTCTATACCTCCCATGCCCAGCACAATCAATGTCCAATATACATTAGGTACTTCATAAATGTCTGACAGACTAATTTTCCCCTAGTGCATATATTTTTAAAGTGCTTATGACAGGCAAAGTCACCTCTTGGCATGCCTCACTGATCTGCATTTACATGTTCCAACTAAGGAGTTAGCCCAGAAAGTAAGGAGAGAGGCAAGATATCTACAAATGAGCAACATGAGCCTTAGGAAATTCAACTGTACAAAAGTGTCTCATTCAAGGTAACATAATGGAAAGGAGGACACAGACCCGTTCATCAGAAAAAAAAAAAGACTTTAGTTCAGGATAGCTTTTCCCAATAATGTTTGAAGAGGAGTATCATATTTCTTAGAAGAGCAATGAATCATGCAATGAATTATGTAAGATGAAGTGCTTTTCTTCCTCCTCAGTTCACACACATCATGCAATGAGTAAGACCATTCTCTGAAACCAATGCCTTTTGACTCTAAGAAGTCACTGTTCACAAGTATCATGAAACATACTAGCCAGAAAGCTGATTAACACTGAGGAAACTTTGGGTCTCAGCTCTTAAACGTGGAAGTAAAAGGGTCAGAAAATGCTGGATGATTTCACAGATATATCCGAGTTAGAAAACAGTGACGTACAGAAACAGATGTTTAAGATCCCAGCAGGGAATGGGAAGTGGCTCACTGGGTGGAAAGACATAGGCTTTGGAGACAGACTGGGATTCAGATCCCAGCAGTGGCCCTTAACAGTCATGACAGGAGCCAACCGAAAACCTCCTGGAGTCTCTCAGGAATGCTACCAGCGTTAAAGAGACAAGGAAGTAAGTTGCCAGGCTCACAGTGAGCACTCTGTCACAAGGTTTCCTTCCTCTCCTCCAGTTTCCATGTGCCTCCCTGTCATTCAGGTTAAGAGTTAAGCTGCAGGGAGCTGCTTGGGAAACAGACTGCTTCAGGTCTACTGAGCTC